GGGAGAAGGAGAAGACGCGGCCGCGCGCCGCGGCCGGCGACGCGTCGCGGTCGGCGGGCGACCGGGAGCGGCGCCGCGCGGCGCGGCGCGACGAACCCGGCGTCGCCTCGTCGTCGCTCGCGACGGACGTGGCGGACCGGCCCCGGCGCAGCGACGGCCGCCGGGGCTCGCGCGGGTGCTGCCGGTCGACCTCGACGAGCGTCTGCACGTAGCCCAGGTCGCCGGCGACCTCGACGTCGTGCTGGTGCCAGTCCTCCTGCTCGTGGCGGTCGTCGTTGAGCGTGGGCAGCGACGACTTGGATTTGGGCTTTTCTCCGTACGACGGCCGGCGCTGGAACGACGGCCGCCGGTGCGCGCCGGGCCCGTGGTGCGCGCGGTCCCCGGAGCCGAACAACAAATCGTCCTCCTTCTCGTGGTCGTCGTCGTCGGGGAGCGCGAAGGGGTGGTGGGCGTCGTGGTGCACGAAGCCGTCGAGCTCGTGGTGCGCCTCCGCGTGCAGCGCGTTCGACAGCGTGTCCGACTCGAGGCCCTTCTCGCGCCGCGTGGGCTCGAAGGCGCGCCGGGCGGCGCTCCCGAGCGCCGCGAGCACGTTCGACGAGTCGTGGCCCTTGGGCAGGCCCCGCTCCCCTCTGCGCAGCGAGCCGTGGAGCGACCCCGTCTCCGACGCGACGTCGAAGCCCTCGAGGTCCCGGTCGTCCGTCGCGGACGCGCCGTCGTCGGCGCCGCCGCTCTCGGACGGCACGACGTGGGGCTCGGCGATCTGGATGGACGCCGTCCGCGAGCGGTGGGTCATGTGCTTCCACGCGCCGTGGAGCTTGCCGTGGAGCTTGCCGTCGGCGCCGCGGTAGACGCTCGTGTCCGTCGTCAGCGTCTGGACCTTTTGGCGGGCGTCGGCGTTGACCTCGAGGTGCTGGTCGCCCGTCGCCTCGTCGGTCTCGACGTGGCAGCCCGGCAGCCAGCGCTGCACGCGGATCTCCGCGCCCTGGTGCTCGTCCTCGTGGAGCGCCTCGCGGACCGCGTCGAGGAGCTGGTCGATGCGGTCCGTCAGCGCGAGCGTCTCCTCCGTCGTCATCTCCATGGCCGTCGGCAACCGCAGCGCGTCGTCGCGGATGTACATCTCGTTGACGCAGTGCGCGAGGCCGAAGTGGTCGTTCGGGTGCCACTGGCGGTAGTCGATGATCTCGCAGCCCATGCGCGTCATCGCCGTCTGGAGGTGGTCGCTCTGCTCCCAGTGGGCGTGCGACTTGGTCTGGAGGCAGAAGTAGGTCGCGTGGGCCGCGCCGCTGAGGTCCGCGGTGTCCGCGATGGCCTCGGCGATGAGGTACTTGGCGCGCTGCTCGTACTTCTCCAGCGACGACCGGAGCCAGGCGGGGCAGATGACCATGGACGCGACGACGGCGAGGCAGATGGCGTTGTACGTGTTCTCGTCGATGATGCCCGCGTCGCCGTGCTTCTTCTTGAACGCGGCCGCCGCGATGAAGAACGACATCTCGCCCCACTCGCCCCAGGCCAGCGCTAAGATCCAGAAGTGGTCCCCGTCGAGGGGCTGGGCGAAGAGGCCCATGGCGAGCTTGCCGACCATCGTCGAGAAGAGGAGCGACGCCTTGCCCAGCGTGCCCAGGTGCAGGATCTTCGTGATCGGGATGCTGAAGCCGA